TCTTAACTTCCACAAAAATGTCATTCCTTGTTAAACAACTAATGAAATTATTAATAAAGTGCCGTATGTTTGTGGCACTTTATTCCAACGACTTGAAAATATTCAATTGGAGTTTACACTTAGTCGCTGCTGCTTTTGACACTCGTGTAATGAATTTTCTCACCGAGATAAGTTTTGCTTGACAAAACACGTTTTCGAGAGATCGAGAGAGAGGGTTTTGAAGGAATTTATAATTAAAAAATAAAGCTCAAACATTTTTACGTCGAGGAGCTAAGTTTACGCTTGTTGAATGTTGTTTTGCTCATTTATACTCAGTTTAAAAAAAATACAAGTTGGGAAATTAAATTGTGTTTTTTAATTAACGAAGTAGGTCGTTGTATTATTTTCAATAAACAATCGGAATCCTTTATTTCTCGTAATGGTATTTATATTTATAAATCCATTGGTAGGCAGAACAAATTAAATACTGCTTTTTTTATTCATGTAATTTATTTTATAGTACTATACAGTGTGGCCAGACTAAAAAGGTAACAGAACCATTATCGGTGCCATATACCGGCCACCTAAACAATCTTTATTACAATTCCTAGATGCATTTGAGAACTCTATTATTGGAATTAGCGCTCAATATGATAACATAATTTGTTCAGGAGATTTCAATATAGATTTGTTAGTTGATACAGCTGCAGCTAGGCATTTGCATAATATATTTGATTCGTTTGGACTTATTCAACACGTTAACAAACCTACAAGAATAAGTAAGACCTCTGCCACTCTTCTGGATTTAATGATTTGTAATGAAAAATTAAATATTAATGATTGTGATGTGTTATATGATCGAATTAAAAGTGACCATGGGTTAGTAAAGGCAACGGTTATAATTGAAAATAATATTAAACCCAAAAAAACTATAACTATGCGTAATATAAAAAAAATTAATATGCAACAATTTTATCAAGAACTGTCATCTTTACCATTTGACGAGATTTACCGTACTAATGACATAAATATAAAAGTTGATATTTTTACGACCCTACTATTAAATATAATTAATAAATTTGCTCCATTGCATTCTGTAAATATAAAAAAACAAAGTAAACCCTGGATAACTGAAAATATCAAATTAATGTTTAAATTAAGGGACAATGCTCTAAGTCGTTTTAAACGAACTAAAAAAGAATCTCACTGGATATATTATAAAGAGTTACGAAACTTTACTAACAGAGCTGTATCTCACGAGAAAAAAGCTTATTTAGCCCACAAATTAAAAAATAATCTTTCAACTAAAACACTTTATAGCGAAATAAAGAAACTTAATATTTACTCAAATGATAAAAATAACGAAATTCCTAATAACTTAGCTGACGTCGATATGTTGAATAATTTTTTTATCAACTCTTCTCGGTCACAGCATACAATTAACAAAGTTATTTTGGAAAAGTTTAACTCTAGCAGAAAAGAAGGACTTGGCAAGTTTCATTTCAGCGAAGTCAGTGAGAATGATGTGTATAAAATATTATTGTCAATAAAATCTAAAGCTATTGGTGCTGATGACATTGGACTGGACATGTTACTTTACTGCTGTCCGTTTGTAATAAAATATTTAACTCACATCATTAACAGTTCTATCAGTACCGCAATTTTTCCATCACAATGGAAAGTTGCGCAAGTAATTCCATTGGCCAAAATAAAAAATCCAAATGAATTTAACGATATCAGGCCTATAAGTATTCTTTGCACAGCTTCTAAAGTTATGGAAAAAGTTATATATCAACAAATAAAAACCTTCCTAGATTATTATAATATTATTCCTATTAATCAATCTGGTTTTCGCCCCAATCACAGTTGCAACACTGCCCTACTCTCAGTCATTGACGATATTATTAGAGCTATTGACCAAAATCACCTTACAGTTTTAGTATTATTAGACTATAGCAAGGCGTTTGACAGAATAAATCATGCAATGCTAATAGGGCTATTACACCACCTAGGTTTTAATGAAAATGCGAAATGTCTTATAGATAACTATCTTAAAAATAGAATGCAGTATGTTAAATATAAAGATAAATTATCTTCTTCACTAGAAATAGAAAATGGAGTCCCTCAAGGATCTATTTTGGGGCCTTTATTGTTTTGCATCTATACATCTTTATTCCCAGATTCACTGAAGTATTGCAATTTTCATCAATATGCGGATGATACTCAGATTTACCTTTCATTCCCTGCTTGTAAATTTGAAGAAAGCATAGCCAAAGTAAATTCTGATTTAAATTTACTTTTTAAATTATCTAATGACTATTGCTTAGATATAAATCCCTCTAAATCTCATGTTATGCTGTTTGGCAGGAAAAAAGATAGAATTAATTACAATGATCAACTTAAAATTAAAGTTAACAATGAAATATTGCCTAATACACATATCGCAAAAAACTTGGGTGTATTCCTTGATACTGATCTTAGATTTGAAAAACACATTAATAATATAATAAAAAAATGTGTAACGAATATAAAAATGATTTATGGCAATAAAGACACCCTGGATCATCGTTCTAAAATCTTATTATGTGAATCGCTTGTATTTTCTCACTTGAACTTTTGTGATTCAGTCTATGGACCATGCATTACTCAATTCAATAACCAGCGTCTTCAGCGCATTCAAAATACCTGCATTAGATTAATTTATAAATTAAAAAAAAATAAACGGGTTTCTCGTAAAAGGAGTGAACTAAAATGGCTGACAGTAAGTCAAGCTCGTTTTTTGCATTCCTGCTGCCTATTTCAAAAAATTTTACTATTTAAAACGCCGTCATATTTACATAACAAGATAAGGTTCAGAAGCGATGTTCATAATCTTAATATCCGTAGAAGAAATTTTGTATCAATACCGCAACACAAGACTAAGATGTTTGAAAGCTCTTTTACTTACATATTTTATAAAACAATCAATTCTCTCCCCCCTGAACTTAAAAACTTATCTGTAAGTGCATTAAAGCGTAAAATAAAATGTTATATATTAAATGGTGACATAGAAGTATCGTTTAAAATTTAAGATTTATCAAAAATATTTTCATTGATGCTTCGCATCAATTAATAATTATTGTAGTATTATTATTATTGTTAGATAGGTACTATAATTAGATATTGGTGTTAGTTATTATTATTTAATTAATAATTTTGTTTGTCTCTTTTTTGTGGGATTTACTATTATAATCTTTGTTATAATTCTTTTTTTTTTGTGCTTTTTACATCAGGATATATTGAAAACCATCTTCTTTCATCTTGTATGATTGACGATGAATATGTCCTTTTCAGTAAGTTCATATTTTGATAGGTTTCTATTGTATTATTCATTTTCCTTTTTCATTATTATTATATTCTTGATATCCGCTACATTATAATGCTATTATGTTTTATACCATTGGCTTACTGAATAAACGTTATTATTATTATTATTATTATCAACATTTTAGACAAATGTTGAGATTCAACAATATTAAAAGACAACCTACGTTACAAATACAAAGAACGTTGAAATGATATCAAACACATTTTTAAATTGTCTTAAATATCTAGTTGGTCGAAATTTAGAAGTGGTAATTTTAAAAGAGAAATAAACATTTTAAATCCGAGTTTGTATAACTTTAATTTATGAACAGTTCATTTTGTGGACTGCTAATTTGAATAGGTACAACTCAACAAAAAAAGTTGCAAAAGACAGTAAGTACGCAATGAAAAGTTGTTTTTTGAATGTCACCGAAGGGCGGTCTGTAACTGCATAGCAATCAATATGCAAATGTGAGCCTTTATAGATCGTCAAGGAAACTGAGAGATCAGGAATAACGACGAAGGCCAGATAAACGATACTGTGTATATCAAATAACTAGTAAATTTGCCCTTGCGGCTATTTATCAGACGCGAAAAATTTTACTCGATGGGTATTACAAATTAGAAATAAATTATCCTAATTTAAATTTGTTTATTAGATACCGGTTTTATACATTCTATACCGGTAAATATCAATTGTTAATCAGTTGATAGAACATACCAAAAGTGTTTTATTACGACTGGCCCTTCTTATATCAGCTTCTACTATATTTAAATGAGCCAGTCAAAAACAGTGTTCTGAAACTCAAATATTTTGTAATTAGCTCTCGGCTAAAACTCAGTTTAGTACAATTAAAGAAACAAAATATCTTAAAGCTTTCTTTATGTGCAACAGATTAAATGTCTGTTTAAAATTGACAGAATATGATTTTAACAAAACCGTAAATGAACCCACGTAGTACTATGCGGTTTACAGTGCAAGGTAAATACCTTTTTAATCTAAAATTATTAATATTGATGATGATAGAGTTTATCTGGTAAAATATAATATAAAAAATGTTTGATTTAATAGTTATTATCTTGTTTTGTAGGTATTCCTGTACCCAAACGAAATTGAATTGGAATCGCCCTGTTATACCCTTGAGAGTTAAGCTACATTTACATTCAATTACGCTCCGGCTTAAGTTTGAAATTTGTCTGCTTGAGAAATGGTGGCGCCACACAACCATTTACATTGACAATTTAGTCTGTGCTTAATTTAACTCCGAATTGAAATTGGTGTAAGCTGCTTGGCAAGTGCAAGCGCCAAGCGGGAAAGTTGGTAATTTGAAGGTTATGTTGTTGTATTTTATGCTACTTGCTACCATTCTGTGTTTTTACCCCGATTGTCTTTCATCGTGGTTTTTACTCGTGTTTTGTGCATCTGTTAAAATAATTTGTTAAAAGGAAAAATGGACGAGGAATTATTTTTAAAATTAATTTGCGATTTCCCGGCCATATATAATTCGCAGCAGAAAGGTCATATAAATAGAATTATGACTGATAAGGCATGGGATTACATATCAAAATCCATGCAATGCACAGGTAAATGCTTGTATAAAATTATAAAAAAAATGTACATAAAATACTTTTTCCTTTATATAATTTGCTTGCTATTTATATACCTGTTTAATTTTAGCTGAGGATTGTAAAAAAAAAAATGGAAATCCCTTAGGGAAAAATTTAATCGAGAAAAGCAGAAACTTCAGATGCTACAAAGAAGTGGTGCTGGTTCATCATTTACGACACCGTGGCCGTTAATGTCATTTTTTGAATTTATGTTTGATCATAAGACACCTAGAGAGTAAGTTTGAGTTTAAAAAATAATATATATTGTATTAATATATTCATAACTTTGTTTTCAGAACTAGTAGCAGTGTTATTTTAGAGAGAAATAATATATATTCACCTTCGTCAATTATGGAGGCAGAAGTAGTTTCTGAACCTTCATTAGATGAATCTAGTATGACCAACCTAGAATTTGATAGTCAAATTAATCAATTTAATTTAATTAATGACCATCAAGAGGCATCTGCTACTCCACCTGTAGTTAACCTTAATCGTAATTTAGAAATATCAAGGGAAATGCCCTTTACTCCTATTAGTGTTCCTAAAAGGAGTAACAAGAGAAAAAAAACAGACAATCAAACGGAAAATGATCTAGATGTTTTGGGGCTATTAGGAAAAATTTCCAATTCAGTGGAACAGGTTACCTCTGCATCCCCAAATACCAGAGATAAACTTGACGATTTTTCATCCTATATGATATCTGAACTAAGAGAGTTTCCAGAAGAATCACGAGAAGAATTCATTGATGAAACAATCATTAGACTTCTTCAAATTAAAAGAAAATTGAGGCAAAATGCAAGGCCATAATTTTTTTAATTGTATTAATAGTTTTTTTTAAATAAAATATAAGTAATATCAAAGCACCTTTATTGTCTACTATGCACTCAGATTATTTTGCCATGGACAATCAATTGTACCAAACTGGCTAAAATAATCTTTTAAAAAATTTCTGTAATCCCAGGCCTCTTTTTTGGCATTTCTATTTCCAAACCTTAGCACGACATTTGAAAAAGCATTATTTGTTGGAACTTGATTACGCCATTCGCCTTCTGAGAGAGTTCCATTTATTTCCCTATCTATAAATTGGGGTGCACAATACATTAAAGCGTCCTGTTTTTGTTTTTTAATAAAATTATGTAAACAAGTAGTTGCTTTCACAATAGCATCTACTGTTTCAGGATACCCATTGATTTATCTGTGAAATATTCGAAAGCGGGCTACCATAATTCCAAATGTATTTTCAATAGTTCTCCTTGCACGAGATAGCCTGAAAGATAAGTTAATTAGAAATGAGCATTGTTTATTGGATTACAAAAACAACAGTTCATACCAATGTCATTACAATTCTTAATAAACTTGTATCAATATATTGTGTAAGTATTTAATATTATTTTAAGTACATACCGATAATTGAAAATGATTTCCTCTTTGTGATTTAAACCAACACGTGGTCTACTAAATGGCCTCATTAAATTTATCTGAAGAGGAAAGGCCTCATTAAATTTATCTGAAGAGGAAAGGCCTCATCTCCAACAAAGAATAGTGGTACTTTATCATTTGTGAATGGTAGTTCCTTTCCTAATGGTATGTTTAAATTTCCATCTTTTAGCTTTTGACCAAAATTTGTTTGTTGAAGAATACCTCCATCACTTTGAGCTCCATATGAACCTACGTTCACATATGTAAAAAAATATGAGGCATCACAGAGAGCTAGCAAGATTGTGCTAAAGTATTTTTTATAATTAAAATACAATGATCCAGAATTGATAGGTGCTTGAATTCTCACATGTTTACCATCTATGGCACCTAAGCAATTTGGTAACTGCCACATGTGATAAAATTCTTCAGCTTTTTGAACCCATTCATCCTCTGTCAATGGTTTTAAATAAATAGGATGTAAAACTTCCCATATGACATTGCAAGTTTCCCATATTATGTTACAAACTGTGGATGGATGTATTCTAAAAGCATATCCTTAACTAGGATATGAATCTCCGGTCGCCAGAAATCTCAGCATTACCATTAACCTGAGGGCAGGTTCTATTGCTGCTCGTGGTGAAACTTTTACCAAATATTTTCCACAAAGGGAGAGCAAATATTCGAAAGATGTACTACTCATTCTTGTGAAATTAAAAAACAAATGAGCGTTACCAAGTTTCATTTCAACAATTTGATTGTTATAAAACCCTTGCTCTTTTCTTTTTAAATAAATATCTTGAACCCATATCCTGCGAGGCTTTCTTTTTTTTATTATTATTTTTTAAATATAAAACGCCTACAACTGTAGTCAGCGCACCTAATATTCTCAGTTTGGAGCAATTTTCACGGTTCATTTTTATAAAACTAATCTTTCTTATTACAATAACAAAGCAACATAACCAACAAATTTTATACCAGAGTTCTCAAATGTAAATGGTCACCCTCTGAAATGTCAATTTACAATTCGCTTAATTCCGTATGTAATTGAATGTAAATGTAGCTTTATAATTGGAAATTTCTTACTTGTATCCTTGCAGTTCAAACAACTTTAGTGGTTCAACAGCTCCAACCTGAACCTGACTATATCTATAGAAGTGCGTTGGGGTCAGTATCAAACAGCTACTAACTGAAAGGTGAGTGATGCTATGAAATATAATTCTTATTCCAATATTTCGTCCAAGAATATGGGGTAGATGAGAGGTATTTGTAGATATGGTAACTAGTCCACAATATGGTAGTTAGCAATGAATAAATGGTAGGTGGTAGTTGGTAGTCGATAGTTGATGGCCTGAAAACAGGATGAATCCAATATGTTAAAAGTTTTTATGATGAGATCAGATCAAGGTAGCTTACCGTGAAGAAGTAGCGGCCTTCTAAAGATATTGTATACAAATCCACTAATGTGTATAATCAGCTTTGATTAACTTTTGTTATACAATTATCTTTGATGGAATTTCTTTTGTTTCAGGCTTATTAAATCCGAAATAAATTTCAATTTTATTAATGAGTCCACATGGCCCAATATCAGCCAAAAAAGAGACAGAACCAGGAAGTGAGAGAGAAAGCATACTTCCTTGATCTAGGTAGGAGATTTTTGATGACAATAATTAACCTAACCGTAGTAGGCTTTTATGTTATTATTTTTAGACAGAAGAGTACCTAATATTTTGAACAATAATGGAAAAAAGAAGAGTTCAAGTTCAAGGTCAATATTGTTTGTACTTTGGAATGTAAACAATAATTCAAGTAAAATAAATAATTATTAAATATGTATTAGCATTATTTTAAACTGTAAGTATTTATTTATTTTTTTCTTTAGTTTATTTTAATTTTAAAAATCTCTGTTGCACAAAAGTATTGAGCCCGTAATAGTTTGTTTAATAGCAATTAGATTGTTCAGTTAATTATGAGAAGAAAACTGCCTCAGGGGTCTATCCCGAAACCATTCATTTTCGAAATATTTACAAATGATTTAAAAACTGCTGACCAAACTGTTTTGGCAACTATATATGTCGATTATACAAACTTTTCTTACTAACAAAATAACAAGAATAAAACATCGAGTTCAGCTTTCACGTTTCATCTGGACATTCTTGTCAGATGAAATTTCATTAACACCAAGAATTTTCCAATAACATTAAAGACATTTTTATATAAATAACAAAAACAAATTATCAATGGACAATAAAATAGATTATAAATTTTTTTAACAATATTTTAGACAAAAAGTATTTACAAAAAATGTAAAAATATTCAAGTATTTTCAGCTCCAACAAAATATTCATTCGAAAAGATAAAAATGAATAAAGTGCTATATTACATCCGTCTAGTTTGCTTAAAAGAAAACTTTACTTTGAAAACTGCAGACAAAAGAATGCTGCATTGCATTTTCCGAACCGCCTCTAACAGCTAACTCAGAAATAATATTGCACTTTTAGTCCCTAAAGACTTCATAATCACGTTGCGGCGAGATTTGTTCTGTAGGATCTGAATATAACCAGCTATTAAACCAATTAAGAGATTTACACGTCAGTAGTGTAAATTTGTTCTCCAAATTCATGAATATTAAACGTATTCATCTGGAAATGCCCCAAGTACATAAAGGATGTCCGCGGCGATGGCGGATCGTCTCAAAATTTTTATCGGTTGTTTAACGCTGAATATTGATTACAATATCTTGTTTTTCTACGAAATTTAAACATAAACTAACACACGGCTTGATCTGAGTAAGGTGGCTTTGAAGTAATGCATCTGCATTACAATCTGAAGGTCGTGGGTTCGTTTTCCACTGCTTCCTGGCCTCCTATAAGGTTTTCAGTAATTTTCTTATAATAATATGTAAATTCTGGATCAGTAAGGTCCTTTAGGTGCCTACCACCATTCCTTCCACCTTATCCCCTGATAACTGATCCCTCCTGAAGAGAATAGGAAAGCCTTTAGTCATATCCCAACTAGAAGAACCAAATTTGCATCCTTTACCTTTTTTGCCTTGACCTGACTTCGTTTATTGAAGCAGCCTGCAAAAGAGATGATACGTGCTGATCTATCAGCAGCTTCTAAAAAAAAGTCATCAGCTTATAATTTATAAAGCAACTCCTGATATCGAGCTTCTGAAAAAAAAAAGGTCATCAGCTTATAATGAACCAGGTCCTTCTATCGAGCTCCTAAAAAAGGTAATTAATACATAAATGCAATTTTGTTACAGAAAATGTATGATTTGACGTAGGCGGGCCAAACTGGTCAACGAACAAAGGGCCAAGAAAATGACAATAGCGGGCCGTATGTTGTGCAGGCCTGTTTTAGTCAATTTATTGGTTATCGGTTTAACATCGAATCGAAAAATCAGTGCCTCTAGAAGTTCCTTCGTCGAATTCTACCTGGGAGCTCCTCAGTTATGTTACGAGTAATACGTTATGATATAAAGACATTCGCATTTACCTCTTTCTCTAACACCTTCTTAATCTTATCGTCCCGTATCTTTTCAACTTACTTAACTTTATGGATAATTTCCTTTTTGTCATCCTTTTTTGTTTATTTCAAGATCTTATCTAAAACCCCTTTCAGCTCATATATCTTCTACATCAACTCTACTCTAGTTTTATCCGACCTACTACTCATGCTCTCTATCTTATTACCAATAACTTTCTCTACTTTTCGAATTCCATTAATTATATTTTTACTCAGTGATGAAATGTTGAAAACTTCTTACCAATTCTCCAAATTAGTTATCTTTAAATTCGTGTCCCACGTTTGGCGCCAATTGATATGGAGATAATTTTAATTAATTAAGAAGAAAACTATTTTCTGCCTCTCTATCTTCTTTGTCACCCCTTGAGCTCCTTACCAGCTTCCTGCACCTCTCCTGTATTTCCATTTCAGTATCCTTGGAATTATTGTTTACTGTTTCATTTTCCTATTTCATAGAATTTTTCACATTAAGTAAATCAAATAGTTATGATGCTAATAACCCAAGTCCGTCCCTGACACAGATTTTTGTTTCTTCCCATTTCCACCCCTCTTTAATCTCAGATTTAATACAATCCTCATCATCTAAAGGAAACACTTTACCTTAATTAGTTCTGATATAAAGTAATCTGTCCTAAAATCAATGACTTTTAATCTATATTTAAATTTCATAATCAGTAAAGGTGAAGGATCACTTTAAAACATCGCTTCCAACGAAATTGGGTCATCTCTTGAAAATTTCCCACCAATAGAATCCAAGCAGACGTTCAATGCCATTTTACCCACATACTTTGATTACTATACGGGGCAAGAGAGAGGTCCGACACGCCCAACATAGGGCGCAGCCATTTTGATTCCTATGA